TCAGGTCAGGTGTCACCCTGGCCTACATCCTCTTCTTTCCTTTGGAACTTGGACAGAAGGAAAGACATACAAGAGGTGAATTGACTGGGAAAGATTTAATTGGACAGCTTCCCTGCAATATTTTGTGGGATGAGGGAGTCTCAAGAAAGAAACTGAATTCAGAACACAAAGTTACTTACACAGCTGTGATCGTTGGCCTGAAAACCTCCTACTCTAACAGTCTCAACACTGCTGTGTATTCAGCAACCAGAGCCACACTCCTCTCTGCTGCGGGCAGGGAGGTTTGGGAGTGGTTCCCAGCTTCCCTCCAAGTGATATCTGTCAATCTCTAGAGACAGTTTTTCAATTAAGGAGAAGCTACTGCACAAGATGCTGTCTCTTAGGTAGGTAGAGGCTGGGGACACTGGCAATGCATGGGACAGGCCCCTACATGGTTCTTTAGCTGCACTGTCAGTGCTGAGCAACCATGGACCAAGCCAACAGGAGATTCTTTTTTTTTTACATGTTACATAGATAGGCAATTTTTTCATGAATACTTTATTTTTATTAGTATATGTTTGCCATCCATATGAATGCATTCAGCAGGAGGCATTAGTACCTGTATTTATTGTATCTTAATTCTTTTTACTTCCCTTCCCCTCCGCTCTGCCCCTCTCCCTCCATCCTTAGATCCTCTTCCCTTCTCCAAATAATCTACCTCTGTTTCCTATTGTCTGTCTTTTGTTTTGCTCTTTAAATTATTTATACTTTGAGTTCCTCATATAAGAAAAACCATGCAATATTTAACCTTCTGGCCTACGTCATTTAGCATTACGGTCTCTTGAGACCAGTGCAGAGAAAGGAAAAGTGAGTTTCTTCCGAGCACTTTGATAGGTAAATCTATCAAAAAAAAGAGGAGGCTGCACAAAATGTAGCTTCTGTGGCATAATAGAGCACGTCCCATCTCACAGCAGCAAGTCTGCAGACCAAGTCTCGGCAGCCTGAGTCCGTGACCTCTCAGAGCTTCCCTGGTTGTCCTTCTGCTTCCTGTCCTCCCTGTCTCCCTACATAATCTTCAAAGGAAATTGGCCCTTACCCCATGCTGATAGTAATAAGCAGCTACAGAGCATTCTCATCCCACTGCCCTCTCAGCCAGCCTGGACCCCTCTTCAAGGCACTGAGTCCCCATGAGGTGTCCCAACTTCAAGAGGCAATCAGGATGCAGCTGTTAGAATGAGGGCCCACAGTAGGTAGTGACATGGCTTCTGCCCACACTGAGCCTCTGTTCACACTACTTACTTCTTTGAAACAGGGCTTTGCAGACATCATCTAAGACTCTCCTGGGAAGTTTGCTGAATCTCACCTTCTGAGCTGGACTCCATGGGTGCAGAGTCAGCAGGTCCAGGGCTCCAGGGACCAACATGGCCAGTCTGCCTGGGTTTTCCCCAGTGCATGCTCTGCTAGGAGCTCTGTGTCCCAGAAGTTGGTTGGATATCCTGGTTGGGGCCAAAGAGTTTGCAAGAGGCAAGAC